CGAATAAGGGACACACAGTGAAGTGTAGAAGCCGGATTTGTTTTGTTTGTTTGTTTGCTTTTGTGTGTGCGTGGGATGAGAAAGACTCGTGCTAATTATATACTGAATAAGTTGAGCTTATTAGTTAGGCGAGTATGCTTTTAATTGTCAGGGCATTAATAAATAAGCTTTGTTTGAGCGTAATGCTGAGAGTGAAGTCGTTTGGTAGTCTTTGAGGATGAATTCAGTTCCGCTGTATTTGTCTGCTAATGTCTTGCATTGCCAGTGTCTGGGTCCAAACACATACAATTCCATAAGCCAACAATAAATGCTATTATTATAAGCTGAGTGTGTGCTGTATTGAAAATCATGATCATAGTGTTTATACCTAAGCCTAATATGACATCATAGATACATACAATAGACATCGCATATGGACTCTGAGCATACATCAATGCCGCCGCCATGTTTGTACAGTGCTCCCAGGACAAGTCATTAATCTGCACTCAGTCAAGACCAAAGCCAATGTAAAGATGCTGGACATTAGCACTGCTTTCAAGTGTAGTAATGAGCAAACTAAGAAAACAAAGCATAAAGACAGAACATTTCATAGGTAAGATTTAGTTTTTTACGATTTTATATGTTACTATATGTTTTATATGTTTATATGAACTTTTGCGCTCAACAAGTAACGTTATTGATGATAATACAGTCAATTACTGCATTGACCATAAGTCAAAGTAGCTTCTGCTAGGCTGATGCTAGTTTTGTTGAATAAAATCAGCACACAATGTAAATGAAATATGACAACATGCTGCGGTGCCAGAAACTTGTATTATTGTCAGCTAAGTAAAGTAACAGCTAGTTTTTGAAGTAACTTATAAGAGTGCCTGATAACATAACAGTGCCTGCGCATCAATGTGTATACTTTCCACCCTAAATTATTGAATATTACAAATGTTATATACCATTTGGATGATTAGAAATGTGGATTTGCAAATTAAGATGCAGGGATATCAATGGTTCACACAAATCGTTCTTACAGGAGATTTATTCACAAACTTGGTCCCACCTTCGTTTCAAGGAAGCGCTGCGAAGTACCAAAATGGCGGCTCTATTGACACATTCCTTCCAATAGACAACTAGAGCGTAGGCGACATCTATTGTAAATATCTATGATTTGAGATGAACAGACAGCGATAAAATTAGTCTTTTATAAAACAATCAAATATTGGTGTATGGGATGCATCAAGTCTAAAGATTGTAGTGGTCGCCAGGATTTTGTAAAATAGTTGTTGTAAAAAAGTGTGACATGATCATACAAGGAAACGTAACTATTTTACATATGGTCAGAAAAGTGGCTGATTTGTACACTAAAAATTCAGTAAAAAAAAAAAAAAAAACATAATCCTTATTACTTTTTGCTTTATTTTGTTCACTCGACTTTTAAAAACATGAGCTGCACTGACCTAAAATTTTTTGTCAGTAATACAAAAAACATTTAGTTGGGTTAACAAAAGATTAACATTAATTTTCTGGAGAAACGGAGATGAGTGTTAACAAAACCCTTAGTAGAAACAGAGTTTGAAACCAGACAGGAGGCGAAAAAAACATCAACGGTAAACGAGACAAGGATCAAAACATGGCTGGACAAACAGGGAAAAATGCTTTGTAATGTTTGTTTGTTTTTGTAATGCATGTGTGTTTGTTCTGATCATGTATTATTTCTTAGTAGCAGTTTCCAAAGAAGTTTTTATGTTCACTCAATTTCAGACATTTTAGGTCAGTGTGACTGATGTTTTCAAAAGTTGAGTACATGTCGGCACATGGCACTCTGGTGTTCACAGCAATCCGGGATTCCTCTCCCCACGCTTTCCTGCCTCTCTACTGTCCTATCAATTAAAGGTGAGAAAAAAAGAAAGATGTTGAGTTGGCAAAACTTAAAAAGTTTTGTTACAGAGTAGTTCACCTCTCCAGAAAACTAATAACCTTATGTTAACCCACCTAATGTTTTTTGTATTACCGACAAATAATTTTAGGTCAGTGCAGCGGATGTTTTTAAAAGTTGAGAGAACAAGAAAAAGCAAAAGGAAAGGAGGATTGTTTTTGTTGTTGTTGTTGTTGTTGTACTGACTTTTTTTTTTTTTACAGTGTACAGTATGAATTCTCACGATTTCATTCATTTGAAAATGTAGGAAAAGGAGCCATGCCTTAAACCCCACCCCTAAGGGTTGAGCAAATCTTACTAAAATGTAATGAATATGAATTAGCAACTAAATAAAAAAGTAGCAAATTGCTGTGAGATTGCGTTGAGCGTGACTAAACAATCATAAAAGTCATAAATGCTTTTTGAAAGTTATTTCAGTTCAGATGAGTAGGCTTGGACTCCAAAACAGTATTCCATATATCACGACTTTGCAAGCGGATTGTCAGGCTATAAACAAACAAAGATTAAATGTATTTTGGTGGTCTTTGAGATTAATTGAGTTGTGCCTTCATCAGTGTATTTTTGCAGAGGGGGAGGACCGAACAGTGAAATGAGGGTTTGTTTGTGACAAAAATGAGGAAGTGGGGGTGGTGGTTAGTCTCTAACAACAGCGGCTACAAGATTAGCAGTGGCATTGTGATGGCTTCGTCTGAGCAGATGGGTGGCATGGGGCATGTTATGAGTTCTCCTGGAGCGTTTGGGGAGGGAATGACACCAACTTCACTAGCAGCTCTTGAACCTGCTATAAATCACAATGAACTTTCTTGCAGTTTTATTGTCATGACAACGATGGAAGTAGAGAGGTGTGTTCACGCCTATAGCGTAGGTGAAGGCAAGGGTCATGACGTTTATCACTGTGCCTTCAGACTGCAACACAGAATTGCTCTTAATCTTGCACACTGAGACACACACACAACACTTATGTAAGAACAGTTAGATCATGGAAATACTTTTGGGATACATAAATATTTGGGCTTTGATGATCATTAAAAGTCTTAATTAAAAACACTGATGTGTTTAAAATGTATGATTAAAAGTACAATATTGAAATATATATATATATATATACTGTTATATTTTATTTGAACTATTTAACAGTAACAATCTATTCATAACAACATAATTATCCTAAAAGAGCTTGATATGTGTGAACTGATAAGTCAAATACTTTCTTTTGTTTGAACTTAAAGAAATTGAGAAAATGTGTTAGTAGCACTGTGGATATGGTGTTGCTGTAAAAGTATGCTATAAATCAGCACATTCGTTTCTAAATATAGTGTGCGATTTATATGCTCTTTTCAGGTTGTCTTTTGTTTGACGATGGTTTTTCTCATTATTTTATTCACCTTATTCTCCGTGCATGAGCGGGCGAAGCCATTTGAATTCTTTTTGGCTCGAGACTTCCGGTCTCATTCACTTCCATTCATTTTTAGACGTTAAAAACAGCTCGTTTTGCTTGCTTGATGTTGCGAACTGATATTTTATTGTTTTTTATTCTATTTTGTCTGTATAGTCATACAAACACTTGTTTCTAGAGCAAGACCGTTTTCTGCCGTTTATTATTCCTAGTCATTTCTCCCGACTGAATCTGAAGTTCCAAAACAATTGCAAAACGAGCACACTTCCGCATTGAAGAATAAGGTCAATATGGCAAATTTGTACGTAATTGGTTAGATGTTTGTGTTAAAGTTTTGTCTTTCACAGTTAAATAGATTTTTGTGATTTTTAGATACTGGTAACAAAAAATGTATTTTCATTAAGACAAATCATGATGAATAAGATGCGACATTGACAACATCCTAAAGATTTTTTTAATATTCATGTACTATTACACAGGGTACCCGGGGGGTCTTAAAGTCTTAACATTTCTTAAATTTCAAAAACTGAATTTTAGGCCTTAGAAAGTCTTAAATTCATTGAAATATTGTCTTGTAGGTCTTAAATCATTTTAAACAGGTATTCATTTTCCTCTGTCCAAGTAAGGCTACCCAATTGAGCCGAGCCGACATCCATCTAATCACCAACAATCCATCTCAATAAAACATTTTTTATTGCAATGAGATGCAATTTACTACAGCTGTTTGACTTTTTTACAGCAATTTCTCTTAATTAAATTCCCCGATCAGGGAAAGAAAACTAAAAATAATTACACAATTGTTCAAAATGATAACAGATCAACATCAATATGTATTTTTGATTATTTATGTCATTGTCTCCATAATAAATACACTTTTAACAATGTTAAACTTGTCATAAAAATAAATATGAGGGTAAAAAAAAAAGTGTATATGACCAGAGTTTTCTTGTTTGGGCACATTAAAATATGTCGCTAAGAAATAAGTGTGGTCATTGTTACAATTTAGTCCAGTAGCATCATTGTCCATGTTTTTGTGTATGTGTATTTACATGGAAAGTGCCGAAACATTACCTAATCCCCATTAAATATAGAAAAAAAACATGAAACAAACACTGTTGTGAAAGCATATACATTGTTGGGATTTCACAAAACTGCATGCTCCAAACTCAAAAGCATGTGCATGCAATGAGCTGTTTGTACCATGGTAAATAAAGCTCTGCAACTCCCAGCCTGAAAGACAATACATCTCATATTAAATTTGTACTCATGCTGCGTGTGCATCTTTTGGGTTTTGGCTCCAACAGGGTTAAAAATAGCTCTCCTCTTATAGTCACTAATTATTTAAGAGTCTCCTCCTTCTGTCCCTTTCCATCCCGCTCTTCCCACTCCTCATCCCAGAATGAGGAGTTTCAGGGAGATACAGCCTGGAAAAAAGAAAGAAAAGAAAAGAGAAGTGAGATGCTGCTTGCCACTTTACAGCATCTTACATATGTCAAAGAGGAAAGAGCGGCTTTATTTTGACACCGGTCTGAGGACTTTGAGATGTAGGAGAGTCTGGTGATGTCTATATAGCGGGCTGGGTGAGCTTGATTTTTGTGCACAGAATATCCGGATCTCTCTGACTTCCTCCTCCTCCCCCTCTCCTTCTCTCTCTCTCTCACACACATACACATGCAGGATGAGAGTTCGGTAAGCAGTGAGGATTTGGACATGGCTGAGCCGGCGTGGGTCTCTACTGAGCGCGCTCCAGCCGCAGATCCCAGCAGTCCCGCCGCCCCGTACACAGAGAGGATGCCGACACCCCCACAGCCCAACATTAAAGAAGAAGAAGGTACGCTTGTCTCTTTATTGCACTCACACTGTGTTTACGTTGCTGTACATTTCGTGGAAATAACAGCCACCTTTTAGCGGTGTTTGTCAGCATTTTATCAGCGAAGACTTTGTGTTTGGCGAGAGTCAGCTAAGTGTCTTGTAAAGCTGATGTTGAAGAGGTGCCTGAAGGCCCATTATAGCCCTTTTCTCCAGCACTCCAGCCTCTCTCTCGCTCTCTTCCATTACTCTCTGGACAGATGCCGGTTTAAATGGATGTCTGGGGTGTGCAGAGACACGCTGAGACTGCTTTGTTTGTTCATTTCAGTCTGCGCCTGAAAAGTCTTCAGTTTCAAGTTCTAGACTGTGTCTTATAGACAGACAGACAGATACTTACATAGACAGACAGACAGACAGACAGACAGACAGATATACAGTATATATAGACACAGACAGACAGATAAACAGTATATAGAGACACAGACAGATGGATAGACAGACAGAGATAAAGTTGATGGAGAAAGACGGATAGATCAGACGGACGGACGGACGGACAGACGGACGGACAGACAGACAGACAGACAGACAGATAGATAGATAGAAAAAATAAAGAATACTTTTAACAATGGCACAATAAAAACTTATTTACATAATAAAGTCATTTACTGTCCAAATGTTTAAACAAGCTCACTGGAAATTCTAAATTCTAGAAAGAAGTTTGCTAAACTTAATATTCATGTTATTCAAACACTATTCATGTAACTTTAACCCTGTTGAAATTATTATTTAATGTATGTTTAAATAAATCTGTTATCTAAAATTTTTTACAAGCTGTTCCACCAATGTAAGTCCTGAGTTGAAAAACAGTGTTTCCGTGATCACATGAGACAACATACATTTTCAGTATGATGTTCAGCATACTTTCTGATGTACTTTTATGTTTATTTCATGATATACCTAGTAGTAAAGAGGAAGAGACGGTCAATCATGTGACATCAAAGAGCATTAAAATAGATAGATACTGTTTATATTTCATCATAGAATGGCCTAGACATTTTTTTTCATATCAGAGGTAAGGTTTATAGTGATTTAGTTTTGTTTTGCATTTGCTGAAAACAGCATTTAAAAGATACAGAAATTTATTAAAAACAAGAAAAAATTAAAATGTTAAAAAATTCAGCCATTTTGGCAAGAAATTCATTAATCTTTAGAGATTATATTCCATATTTCCATCAATTTTTCTTTCTCAACACTATATTTAGGCTTTAAAAATCATATGTTAGAAAAAAAACATCTGACAAAAAAGCTTGTAAAAATGATTACAGCTTAAAATACTTCAAATTAATGACTGATATGACATAATTTATGAAATCTATAAGATGGAGAGGCTGACAATGAATCATCGTTTACAGACTGAAGACTTTAATGAGACATGGAGAAAATGGTTAGAATATATTCTTTCATTAAGACCAGATTTAATATAGAATGTGTAGATGTGAAGTTTATTTTGTTTATTTCGTGTATTATGTTTGTAATGAGAGAAAGCATAAAAGAAAGGCAATACCTATTTAAAAAATAAACAAATAAAAAAAAGTAACATTTAAGATCCTAAAAGTATCATCCTCACAGTTTTATATGTATATAGTTTAGGGGGGAAAAGGGTAGACTGGGTGCCACAATATGAGTTAAAAAAAAAAAAAGTACACGATTGAATTGTAATTGAAAAACAACAAATCAGTTTTATCTGTTTTCTTTTTGATGATATACAAAATAAAAAACAATTATGCTTGTATTGTTTTGATTGTTCTTATATTGTGCTTGAATCATTAATGTAACTTCCGTATTCATTTATTTATTTATTTTTTTGGTATTTTATCATTTCTTTTATTTCTACAATTTCTAGACTCTGATGTTTGGTTGTTTTGTGTACCCATTGTGAAAGACCCTAAATATCATACACCTGTATGTAAATTTGCAAACTGCCATAAAAACTAAAAAACAACCAAGAAAAATATATTCTTAAACCAGCCCTAGCGTCGACACAGCCGACATGTTTATCTGCTGTTTATTTTAGGTTGTGTCTGCAACATAGTCAATATTTGCTATAGGGAAGGTAAATACTGTTATTGCCAGTGTATAAGTCTATGATTTACAGTGAATAAATAAATATTAATTCAGTATAAAATATAAATGCAAAAAAAAAATCTATTTCAAAATCAAGTCAATTAAAAAGTTTTTTTTCCATTCCTAATAAAATATCATATTTTTTATATTGATATATGAATATCAATATCCTAATTTAATAATGTTTATGTAATAACAGTGTTTTAGTTATCCAACCAGAAGCTATATATATATATATATATATACATACATACATACATACATACATACATATATATATATATATATATATATATATATATATATATATATATATATATATATATATATATATATATATATATAGATTACATATATTTAACAATCATGCAGAACATATACAATAATCATTTGCCAGGGATCCCATATTTGCAGATGAGTGTAAACAACTGCAGGGCTCCAGGGTTGTTGACCCTGCCCCCCTTTTTTTGAACCGAACACACATCCTCCTTTTCTCCAGCACTCGCTCGCTCTTGTCTGTAATTCAGTTGGAGTGCAAGGGGGCTGTGGTGCAGTATGAATGGGGCAGGCAGGGGGAGGGGGACGTGGAGATGCTTTTTAAAATGGCTGCTGGGACAGTGGAGGGTCTTATTGGGTGGCAGAGAGGGAGGAAGCAGCTTGGGTCGCTTCTTTTGTGGGCTAATCCTGTGTAATCTTGCTCTGAGGGGCTGCAGGAAATGGCTTGGCCACACACACACACACACACACACACACACACACAGACTCGTGTCCGCTTACTCCATCATAACAGAGGGAGAAAGTGACTAAAGGGCCGCGCACATGCTCAGTGCACCTTACCCTTGATGGACAGCTGGAGAGGCCCTGCTGGGAATTAAACTAAAGAGGGATGATAGTATTTTAGGAATGGTGGACGAAGCTGTGCGCATAAAGGTTACCCCTCTTCTCTGTCATAGGCATGTCTGGATTTTGCACTTATTGATGATTGTGAGTGATTTTGACTGCGAGTTTAAGAAATGTTAAAACTAAAATATTTAAAAATGACATTGTTAATAATTTACAAATATCAATGTCCTGATGATGTCAAATGTCTGAATGAGACTCAGTGCATTAGATGCATTACAAAGTATTTCTAAGGTCAAATCAGGTGAAAATAGTTTCTAAAAGGTTCTGTAAAATCAAAATGTAACATTTTGTGTCTTTTTATAGAGAAAATATAGCAAAATAAACTAAAGTTTTGCAAGCAAAAAAATAAAGTATTGAGCAAAAAAAAAAATGCAAGTCTCTAAAAATTGCAAAGCGAAAATTAATTTTTGAGAAATAAAAATGTGTTTTGCTAACAAAAATAAAGAATTGCAAAGGAAAGTTTTGAGAAATGAAAATAAAATTTGCACACAAAAAAAGAACTGCAAATTAAATCAAGTAGTGCAAAAGAAACAAAAATATTTGCAAAAGAAAAATAACTATATATATATATATATATATATATATATATATATATATATATATATATATATATATATATATATATTTATATATATATGCTAAACATTTTTAGTGCATTGCCTTTATAAAACCCATCCAGTCAATTGCAGTGCTCATTTTAATTTGCTCTTTAGTCAACTGTGAGTTTGTGATGCTGTTTTCACTTTGCACTTCACATTTCTTCACTGTGGCCCTGTCTTGACAAGTAGGCGGTGTCATGGGGACCTGGGTGTTAACAGCCTGTAGATTGGTAGGTTGACTAAAAAGCAAATGAAAATAAGCATTGCAATCGATTGGAAAGGTAATACTATAAAACGTTTTTTTTTTTTTTTTTTGCACTGCTTAATTTTATTTTCAGTTCTTTTTTTGTTGGCAAATTTCCTTTTTATTTCTTACATTTATTTTTGCTTTGTGATTTTTGGAGATTTGAATTAACTTAAGTATAACCCTAGATTGACTCCAAAAGTTTTGTCTATAGCGTGTGTATTAGCTTTCATTTTTAATTGTTTGGGATCAATGTTCTTTTTTAAAATAGATATTACAACTTTTTTTCCCAGTATGGATGTGTGGTATGTTACAGTTTGTTGCAAGAAAGCGGACCCAGTTACAGCAATGAACAATACAAAAGTGTTTATTGATGGAATTAGGCACAAGTAGTCAGACCAGGTCCAGACATTAGAGGCAATTAAACAGAAGCCACTGCTACATGTGACAAGATGGCACCAAAATGAACAGCCAGCCAAGAATTAGTTTGTAGTTTGTCTCCGTAGGGGAAGCAGGCCAAGGAAGTCAGGACATGGAATAGGACTGGAAAAGTATAAGACACAAGACAGGACAGCAAACAGACAGCAGAAAAACACAATAGAACTAACTAAATCTAAAAGAAAATAGGAAATCAAATAGAAATCCTAGTAGAAAGAGAACTAGACTGACTTGGGCAATCGGATAAAACTAACTGAAATAAAGACTTCTAGAATCTTAAAGAGGGAAATTAAACAATCAAAAAGACGACTAATAATCAAGTACAAATACAAGACTGGGACTGACAGATAAATGGAGCAAAAATGGTTCAGAGGATAAAAGCAAGACAAAGATTACAACACAAAATAAATAAACAGGTTGGTTGATTCATCACAAAAAAAAACAGGTTGGCTGATTCATCACAAACAAAAGAAAGTAGTAGAGACAAACAAACAAGAAATAGACAAGAGAACTAGAACAGGCAAGACAAAATTCTCTGTAAGGATGCAAGGCTAAGATACAAGACAAGCTCACATGGAATAATTCAGCAAACAAATGAAAGCACACAGCATAATACATAGAACAAAGCACACAAGAGACAGGTGAAAACAATCAGGAGAACAAGGTCTAAATAAGAGGGAGGGGTAACTGAAAACAAGAAGGAAAGACAAGAGG